CTGCGAGGGGGACCCAAGTTCCCATCAGCAAAAACACGTGGGTTTGCTATCCTGGCTCCAAAATGGTGGAATGAGCTCCCCATTGACATCAGGACAGCAGAAAGCTTACACATCTTCCGGCGCAGACTGAAAAGTCATCTCTTTCGACTCCACTTCGAGCGATAAAATGACTAACAAAGCACTTATATACTAATAAAGGACTGGCTTATCTAAAGCTAGTTGAGTAGCACTTGAAATGTTTTGGCTGTATGAAACCTGATGTACTTATATGATTCTGTTTTCTTCAAGTCTGTATCTTCCTGGTCGAATGCACTTATTGTAAGTCGCTTTGGATAAAAGCGTCAGCTAAATGCAATGTAATGTAATGTAATGTAATGTAATGTAATGTAATGTAATGTAAAACACTGCTTTAATGGTCAAGAATCCTCTTTAAAAATGTAACCTTTAAAGTGCAAATAGATTCAAAGCAACAAAAGTTGTTATTTTGTGAAGTAGTATTTATGGGTCAAAGAAAATAAAATATATTCCAAAACATTCCATTATTATTGTATACTATGTACAACTGCATTATGAATACTGTGTGAATTGTACCAAATGAACTGTACTGTATACTGTAATTGCAATTTGTACTCTCCTTTTAGCTGTTTTGTCCTCTCCTGAGGTAATTATCGGGCTTTTTAGCTGCTAAATGCTCCGCCAGCGTGTCACTAACACTGTGTCTGCTGTCTGGCAGGTAGCTTACTGTGGGTTTGTTAGAGCTTTTGTTAAAAACAGCTGCCTGCTGTTGCTGGAAACAAGATTGGTACCAGGAGTTAGATTGAACCAAAAGCTGAGAGATGTTAAAAAGACTTTCCCAAACATACCTGAATTTATTCCATTGTTAACATAAGATATTGATTGAGTTGCTTTAAATATAACAGTTTGAGTTTCAATCAGAATCAGGTTTATTGTAGGTTTATACATACAAGGAATTTGCTTCGGTGTATATGTGACAAAAAAGTAATAAAAACAAGTTGTTTTAAAGAGGCCCCAATTATGCTTTTGGAGGTTTTCCCTTTGTGTTATAAAGGTTTTTGAGCATGTACCACAATGACATCACTATGTAACACTCACACCTCGATTGGCTAACTCTCCAACACTACTACTACCTTCTCATACTCGCAACATTGTCAGCTTTATTTGGCTCTTCATGCCGATTCCAACTTATCCGCATTCTAAACCACAGGAATATTCTTTATCAGTCATTGAAATGGCTATGCTTGTGAATGAGCAGTGGACCCAATGAGCATCAAAGGAACATGCTTCTGGACCAATGAGCATCCACAGAGCGAAGCACACTAATAGGCCAATGAGCATCTTTGGTGATATACAGGAGTTCATGCAGGAGGAATAAGAACATATACATCCACTGCTAGCTTGTCATTACACACACTGCCTGCCACTTCCAATGATACTCGCTAATGTGACAGACCGCTGTGTGTGTGTGTGTGTGTGTGTGTGTGTGTGTGTGTGTGTGTGTGTGTGTGTGTGTGTGTGTGTGTGTGTTTGTGTGTGTGTGTGTGTGTGTGTGTGTGTGTGTGGAGTTGCATAGTCAAGTCACATAGCATCTATCTCTGTAACACGATCAGCGATTGAAGCAAAGCTTTTTCATACAGTACTCGCACACTGCTTCTAGCAATCACACACACACACAAGCGCACACACACACACACACACACACACACACACTGGTAATTTGTTTGTTTCCCATGTTTGGAGGCATTCGGTTCTGCTCCGCTGTCCCTAATGCCTCCAAAACACATCATTATCTGACTTATATAGGCCTGGGAGTGTGTGCGACTGTGTGAGTATGTGTCTGAATGAGAATATGTGTTGCTGTTTTGTTTGTGTGTGTGTGTGTGTGTGTGTGTATACTAGTGTGTGTGCTAAGAGAAAAACAGTTGATTATCGAGTTCAACAGGCGAAACACTGTTTACCCTGAGAGACACAAAGCGAGCGAGAGAGACACGGAACGAGAGAAGGAAGAAAGCTTGAGGGAAGTAGAGGGAGATGATTTAGGAACAGGGAGGTGAAAAATGGGAGTCCTGGAGAGACGGAGGGAGAGTCAGAGAAGCGGACCAATGAAAAGAAGCGGGGACGGAGGGATGGTTAGAGGGAGGAGGGAAAGAGGATCAGACAAAGAAGTGAGATGACAAGCTAGGCCTGCGGGGTGCAAAGTAATGAAATTCTGTGCTATATTACTCTAAGCCATGACACCCAGACAAACATCACAGTCAGTCTGTTGTTGTAGTCGGGCAACAACCCGACTTCAGAAACATGGACTGCAGCTATTTGCAAGCTGGAGTGATGAAGTCTAATCGTGGCCACAGAAAACCGCTGCGGAAACTCAAACAGTCCACATTAGCAGGAAGAGATACAGTGGAGCACGGCTTACATCCAGGGGTAAATCGACTGCATTTATAAAGCCCCTCAAAGCGCTTTTATATAAAAAAAAGTCAGCATTAACCGATCCACAAACATATACACTGCAGCTGAGCCTGCCATATAAGGTGCAGATGGCATAGGGAAACAAACTTTTAAAGGTATCCTATTATACTGTTTTTCATCAATATATTATAGGTCTCAGATATATACAAAACATGTCTCTGAAGTGTTTTGCTCAAATGCCAAATACAGATCACCAATTGTAGCATCCCATAATCCCCTCTGTTTCAGCCCTGTTTCAAAAGTGCTGATTCTCTGTCTGTTACTTTAAGGCCCGGACACACCAATCTGACAACAAAGAACTGACACAGACGGACCCCGACTGTTGCGTCGCCTCGCGTCTCTGCGTTTTGGCCATGTGTCGCACTGGAACACACCGCAAAGACTACAGCCGATGGCAAAGAAGCACGTACGAACTGCGCATGCGTGAGTGGCAATAACTCTCCTTACCAGCAGGCGGTGGTAGTGTGTATTCGTCATTCAAAAGAGGCAACAACTGGAAGACAGACTGCGTGATAACCGAGAGAAGAAGAACAGACTGAGTGATATAAACAAACAACAAATAGCGTGTGCGTTCCATTTTCACTCTACAGCGAGAAGCTCATGGGGCTTTCCCGAACCTGTGTCGAGAGCTGGAGTTAAATGAAATCTCAGATTTGCCTTCTTAATAGTTTGATTGGGTCCCTCACTTCCGTTTCGCTTCTCATGCACTGATTCGCTAGCTGAACAGCCAATCAGAGTGATTTCTTTTGCCGACTGCCTTTGGATGGAAAACCCAGCCGAAAAGCCGTCGGCACGGCTGAAAAGACCCGACGGTGCGGGACACACCAATCTGAGTAGGGCATGTTGACGCTCATCGTCGGCCTGACACCCACTGACGCCGATAATCGGCCTGGTGTGTCCGTGCCTTTAGATGAAAATAAGGAGCCACTCCCCACGCCCCTCTGAGAGATATGTGGTTAAAAATAACACAATGGTGCTCTAGGAGGAGATTCAGGTGGGGGGGGGGGGTTGGGGGGGGGGGTTACCTTGGTTGGTGATTGGCTAATGGTTGCACAAGCCAAAAAAACGTTGACATCATAAAGTGGCCAAAATCTGATCAGCTCATTTTCAGACAGGTTTTTATATAAATGGATCAGGACAGACAGAGAGAGAATCTTTTTTCATGAAACTTTCAGTACTTTCAGTATCTCTTTACACAGAGGGGATTTTGCATAATAGGTGACCTTTAAACATTCACACACCATTGGCAATGCCATCAGGAGCAACTTGGGGTTAGGGATCTTTACCAAGGACACAACGATTGTTAGACTACCACAATATCTCACAGCCACAGTCGCCCACACAGGGGATTTCCTTTTAGATCATAAACCTGATTTGGTTTTATATTTAATCCTGTCTTAATGATGTAGCCTCATGTCAGATTTGTTGTGTTTTTGCCTGTCATTGATGTCATTAGGCAATTAGAAAGTCAATGTTTTTGTCAGTTAGCAGAAGCATATTTGGACAGGGAGATGAAACTTTAGATTGCACTTCACCTTTATGTTTTAAGTGTAATCAAACACAAAACCAAACAACACAACTGATGTACTATAGTGACCTTGACAAGTCTGACTGCTGGTGCTACACCTTGGATACATCCTTGATAAAAAAAGAAGACGTTTTCTTTTTCATTGTGTGTTGTATGGTAAGCACTGGGGAATGTAGAGTCTTTATTATTCCAACTTTCAATATGAACAGATTTCGCACGAGATATATTAAATTCAAATAATGCTTTTTATAGGAGGACAGTGGTGTATTTCAGTTTCAAAGTGAATGGAAGCAACTACAGGAGCATCCGACCTATCTAATAAAATCCAGTCTCTGAAAACGTATTATTCTTAAGAAAAAATGTGTTGTTGATACTGTATTAGAGAGGAGGTGTTATTTACTTTTATGGCTATTTCTGAGGCAGAACCTTTTGTACTTGTAGGCACTGTGTGATATTACTTTTATTGTATTCATCCTGAATTGAAGAAATTTATTTTTCAATACACAGAAAACTTTCTGTAGCCACTAAAGCTTTATTTTGACTGAATACTATGCATGTGTTTTTTTAAACTTGAAACTATGAATGTCAAATAATGTTAGCTGTAATTAACTTATCGTTAAATATAATTTGCTGTTATGTACTGTAGTTGTCAGTGTTGGTCAGAATTGTATAGGAAAATCTGTGACAGTATAATTAGGATAGTCAAAATAAAATCCACCCTTGATTATTTTTGACTTGAACTCAGATAATTACAAATTAACAACTGGATTTGTAATTACTCTACAGTACAACCACTACATTTACATTTAAACTGAAGTGGAAACTGACAGTTTGCTCAAAACGAACACATTATGTAAGTGGGAAAGCATTATTCTCCAAAGCAAAGGTTTAAACCATTTTCTTAAACCAAATTCTCACTATAATTTAATTGCAGACTGCATGAACAATATGTGTTAATGGATAAGAGTGTGTATCTGCATCTCACCTTGTTTCCCAGGTATAGCTCAGGTGCGTTCCAGTAGTACGCTGAGCCGAGGTCATTCACAACGTCTGAGTGTCGGACGCTGAGGTATGGAGGAGTCTGTCTGTGAACGGACCACACTCTTCCTCCTGTTTCTCCAAGCAGGTGCCAGCCCGTCAGAGTGGTCTCCTAAAACACCAGAAGAAGAAAATGTTTTACTTTCAGCTCCTTCTACTGAGAAAACAACAGCTTGTATTCTTATATTTACATTAAAAGGCTAATATGTACTATGAATAGGCTTAGACGATGGGCCACTGCATTTCATTTCAAATGTAGTTGCAGCTGTTTCAAATGTACCAAGAAGTAGCATAATAATATACCCCACAACGCTCTGGTCATTCTGTAAAGACGTTTGGATAAGGTCGAACACTTTGCCTGTTGCAGCAAAGGTGTTAGCTTTCAACCTGTTACAGTATGCTAGTGTATGTTTTCATATAGCTGCCCCTTCACCTACACACTAAGAGCAACTCATGTTGTAAAATGTTGGAATAAAGTTATGAAGATTTCAGTGAATTTGTTTAAAGCATAATCACAGAGTCTCCAACAGAACTGACCTTCAAGCATGAATACAGTTTCATGCTTGTTCAGATATGTATCCATAGCAGTCTCCAATCATGTTCAATGTGGACTGATTTTAATATCTGAAAAGCTTTCATTAATAATGGCCTGTGGTCGAATTCGTAAAAGAAATTGCAGCTATAATTGTGGAGCACATTTATTCTTAAATCATGACATGTTATGCTATCTTAAGGTCCCACCTGATCGAAATGTGAAGATGTATAAATAAAAATATGTGAAACTGAAAATATGTTTAACGATGCTTGTGTTAGATTTCAGCAAGGGAGTCTTCCAACTGATACCTAAATGCACTTTTTTTTTCTTAACTCCTGAAAGTGTGTGTGTGTATGTGTGTGTGTGTGTGTGTGTGTGTGTGTGTGTGTGTGTGTGTGTGTGTGTGTGTGTGTGTGTGTGTGTGTGTGTTTGTGTCAGACACACATCTGTCGTTGCAATTAACCTGACCTTGGCTTCCCCTTTTGAACACACACCCACACATTCACCCACACGCACACAGACGCACACAGACACAAACACACACCCACACCCACACCACACACACACACACACCACACACACACACACACACACACACACACACACACACACACACACACACACACACACACACACACACACACACACACTCTCTATCGGTGTCTAAATCAGGGCTGTCATCCTGTCAACGTCTCCTCTCCCCGCCTCTCTCACCCCGCTGTCAGTCAAAAACTGTTTTCCTCTTTTCACCTCATTCCTCCTCCTCGCCTCTTGTCTTGTCTCCACTTTCCTCTCTCCAGTCTTGTCCTTTGGCTTTCTCTCCTTCGCCCTCTCCTCCACTGTACTCCATAACTATCCATTCTTTTAAATGAGTATCTTGTAAATATGTGTATTCGCTTAAACACTTCATGCACACTACTGCTACTACTATTGCTCATTGTCGCAACAAGTGAAGCAATGACTGCATTCCCATGAATGAAGTATGCTATTCCATGTATTCGCCTCAGCCTTGTTATGGATCACATGATGGCCATAGGCGCGGCAGAGAGTTGACGAAATAGAAATATAAACAATAACCGCTGTGATTTTGGCTCATTTTTGGAGCAATAAAGAAAGCAATGAAATAGGCTGCGTATCTCTGCCCACTTCTCCCCTGTGTTAGCCTGCATAGTGGTAGAAACACAGTGTAGTGGAGGACGTCATATTAGGCTAGAGTAGTGATTCATATCTTAAACTGCATTGTTATTTGTATTTGTGTATTTTGACATGTCTTATTCTATTTAAGGCTTTTTAATGCATGTTTTTAAATGTATTTAAATGTCATTTTAAATGTGTTTCTGCTTAGTGCTCTTAATGGTTTTCATTTCTTGTAAAGCACTTTGAATTGCCTTTTGGTTGAAAGGTGCTATATAAATAAACTTGCCTTGCTTTTCAGGAATAGCTACATAACAACCTTTTCACAATTTGTATATGATCAAACTCAGATGAAGACACATAGATATTGGCTGACAAAGTGTCTGTGTGCTTACATTGTGATAGGACCATGTGGAGGACGAGCACTGGCTGGAGATGCCCATACAGGAGCATTTGTCGCAGCCTCTTGGATTGTAACCTTGCAGGTTGAAGAATCCCAGTTTACAGCGGTCACAGTTCCCTCCCTCCACGTTTTCCTGCAGGACAGACAGACAGAGGGTACATCAAAAGTTGAAAAGGCTGCCCTCAAACTGACGTTCTGAGCACAAAGCATGTTATTGCAGTGTTAATGTGGTGAAGGTAATGATGACAGGGTTAGAAAAGGTTAGGGCAGTGCCATTATTTGTGCGCATAAAAGTGTGAGTACCTTGCACACACACGGTGTTACACACGGGTCAGCGTTGGCGCTTCCCTCCACACTGCAGTTACAGCGCTGGCAGGACGGGTAGCCCATATAACCCACAGCACACCTGGAGACAAATGGGTTTAATAACAATAATAATGATGAGTGTGACGAGTATTAGGGAGGTCACAGGGTCAATTATTCTAACAACCGCCGCGTCCATCCTGATCTGAGCCTTCAGTGTGCAACAAACAGCTGACCTTGCACCGCAGGTGACGAGCATGTGTGTGTAGTCTCAGAGGAAATATATTAGAAATGACTCTCTAATTAAGAGAGAAAGTGGGGTCAAGCGAAGTCTATTAAAAGGGCCTTTTAAGAAGTGATTTTAAAGACGATGCTTATGCGGTTGGCCTGATTTGAAGGCAGGTCATTAAAAAGTTTGGGGGAGAAGTTGTATAAGCTTTTAGATTAGATCAGATTGCATTAAATGAGACCCACAGGGAAGTAGAGTAGTTGCAGTAGGGGAGAAAAGATAAAACAGACAAGCAATAACAGATTATTTATTTTTGTATATGTTATCAAAGAGTTTCCATGTTGCATTCAAGGAAAAACAAATCAAATTGACATTCATTCGATGTCCAATTCCTTTACTATGTGCAAGGCCAAAACCATGTGTGTCATATTAAATGTAATTAAAGATCTCAATAGAAACTTTCTAAACACTAATTGGATCAGACAACAGCTGAACATGTTCTGCTCACCTGTCACAGAGTGTCTGTCTCTGTTTCCGTGTGTGTGTGTGTGTGTGTGTGTGTGTGTGTGTGGTGTGTGTGTGTGTGTGTGTGTGTGTGTGTGTGTGTGTGTGTTTGTGTGTGTGTGTGTGTGTGTGTGTGTGTGTGTGTGTGTGTGTGTCTCTCACCTGTCACATTGCAGACCCCCAAAACCCTCCTTACACCGGCATGACCCTGCTGGCTGAACTGTCAGTCAAAAAAACACACACACACACACACACAGACACACAGACACACACACAAAAAAACAACAGTGTGAGGGAAACAGAATGGTTATCACTAATATAAATAGTATTGTGTTCAATAGTGTTCAACAGCTTCTGTGGACAGGGTGAACTAAACTAACCCAAACCCCCATAGGAAATCAAGCAGGAAGGAATCAATGAAATGTAATTGAAGTAATATAAATTAAAATGGGGGTTTGAGTACCTCTAATTGTTCATCTACTATATCCAACATGAACAATGATCAGAAAGACGATACACATAAGGACAGAGAGGAAGACTTCAAAATGATCTTAGCATACGAGGAGTAGCCTGGCTTGAATCCGGGACACATGATAGGCTGATAGAGCCATGCGGGTCACATGAGCAGGGGATGCAGGGGTCCTCCTCCTCAGCGCTCACCTGGTGAGGAAAACAATAATTTCAAGATGTAAAGGCTTTAGTGTCATATGCACAACAGCTACAGCTTCATTTTGGCAATACAAATCTGAAGTCCCAGGCTCCTCCTCCAGGGCAACATACTATATACTTAAGAAAACTTTAAAAGAACGGTGCAAGGGGCATTTTCACAAACACTAAGTTGATCATAAGACATTGTAAAAAAAAGCAGAAGTGCATGCATATGTTTAACGTACCTCGGCGGGTCTGTAATATCCCGCAGCACATGTCTGACAGTTGATTCCAGCTGTGTTGTCGTGGCAATTGATACAGACTCCGCCCCCTCTGTTTTGACCTTGGACATTCAGGCTGAGTGACAGGTCTGCTACTGTCTGATTAAAGGAGCACTCCTCTGCCTTATTGTGGCAGTTACACTCTGAAAACACACACACACACACACACACACACACACACACACACACACACACACACCACACACACACACACACACACACACACACACACACACACACACCACACACACACACACACACACACACACACACACACACACACACACACACACACACACACACACACACACACACACACACACACACACACACGTGTTAGTGTAGTATTGTCTGCAGGATTGTTGCCCCAGCTTTCCTATCCGAATACGGAGCTTGAAGCAAGGAGGGCCGCTCTTTTAATCCATTTACTTCTTCCACGTAGGAGTTTACAGAAACATCAAACCTTGTTCTGAAGACAGTGCCCTGAGGTGCACACACTGACCCTGAGCTGCGTGTTATCTCCACGGTCCAGAGAGGGAAAATAAATTGGTCTTTTCCACAGTTTGGTGGTGAGTGGGTTGCCTAGCATTAACCCCGTTTCCTACTCACCAAGTTTACCATTTAGACTTTAAAAAAGAAAAGCAAAGCATTGTTCTGTGGACATGATAAAAGAAGGGTCACATGGATCTCCTGGAGAAACACATTATAATGTTGGGAAACACTGTGTAGTTTCTCAGAGGGTTTATGATACTTTGAGGAAGGATTTCATTTCTGTGGAAAGGAACACTATGATGATAGTGTTGACAGTTCTGTTAGGGGGGATAACAGTAGTGGAAATCTGCGCAAAGGCCACTTTATCCCCGGAACATTTCAGGGCCCGTTTCCAGGTCTGATCTCAGACTTGGCTCAGCTGACCTGTGAAGCTGTTTGCTGCTGCTGGGCTTCCCTTCTGTGCTGCTTTCCCCAAGACACCCAATTTCAGCTAGGCCTTCATCCATCTCCAGCATCAGATGGCTTTAAACAATCACTCTGAACCAGGCTGTATAACCCCGGGTGTGTATAAACACCACGATGTGTCACTTGTTGCACTTTAGTAGCCTGTGTATTATTCACCCTTAGAGCTTATCCTAATCAAGCTGTTGTATTTAAATGAATAATATGGGGGAATACAAACCTTAGGAGACAGCATATCTGATGATGCATAACTAAAAATATAGTTATATTTTTTGGTAGCTCCTAGACATTTTTTGACATTCACCTACAGTATTCCATCTTTTTTATTTACTTTTAGATGATCATTTTGTGTTCTCTGTGTTTTATTTTATTTTAATATATTTTGTTATCCATATACACACTCTGTCTGTGAGAGAAATCCTTCCTCTGTTTCTCTCCTGGAGGTGTCTCTCATTTCCCCCCATTAATTGTGGGGTTTCTTGAGTTTTTTCTTGTATATCCGTGAGGATCTAAGGACAGAGGATGTTTTATGCGATACACACTCCAAATCCACCTGGACATATATGCCATTTGTGATATTGGGCTTTAAATATAACATTTGATTTGATTTGATGTATTTTCGTAGATCAGAAACGTATAAATGTTATCATATATCCTTTATCCTTAAATTATAATAGTTTATAAGTGTTTTTTCTTGCCAGATTTGCTCGTGGCACACATAGAAAATTACCAGACGCACAAACTTTTGATAAAGATAGCGGAAATCCCAAATGATTAACATGGACACCAACAAACCTCTGTAAGCATTGTTTGTTCAGCGTTCTGAGACACTCTGATTCTGAACGGGCTGAAGTCATTGCCTCCTTTATGGTGCTGTCAGGACCTTTAAAGTCGTGTCACCTCAGTCCTGTTGTGTCAAGGCAGGAGTAGCCGTTATCAGGCCATGGAGACTACAGCCTGTTAGAAGGAGTAGCCTGTGTGAAATAAAATGAAGATTACATGTTGTAACCATAGTTTTATGAGGACAGGTAGAAGCCTCTAACCTCCTCGCCGTGCTGCTACGTAGATGATGAAGGTTAATGGATGCTAAGGTGACTTTTGATGGCTTTATACAGTCTCATATCAAAGACTCATCCTGACCTGATTGGCAGGCAAGGATATTTATTTCAGTGAGCTCCTTCACAGTTTCATAAAGTCTGGAGTCATATAAACTGAAGGTGTGCGGAAGTAGTATTACAGGCATGTTGTCTATTGACATTTGTGGGTACATAAGCTACATTATAACAAAAAATGTGGGCGCCTACAGTACCGTAAGAAGTCTGGAGAAACATTACAAAGTAGAGAAAGTGTAAAAAGTGACTGCTGGTTTCTGGAAAAGTAGGAGTTGTGGATAGTTGTGTGCAATTTTTTGTGTGTTTTCCTTACTTTCGCAGACATGTCGAGTCAGGAAGGTTCCCGCCATCCAGGGCTGCTGGTTGTAACCGGGGCAACAACGATCACAGCTTTCCCCGCATGTGTTGTGTTCACACTCACAGCTGAACTTCTACACACACAGACACAGATTCACAAACAAATACATAAGTAAAAGTTTCACAGATTTGTCAATTAAACAGATATAAGTGACAGTGTTTACATAAATGGACGCTGACTTAATTAGAAGGCTTAACATGGAACAATCTGAATCATCTGAATCAGCTGTCAAGTCTCTGGTGGGGGGAAAATATCATTTAAAAAAGTTGGACCTTGTTTCGAAATGTTTTCACATGCAGTACAATTGGGATTATCCACTTCATTTTTACCACATGCTAGTTTAAAATGTAGGTTTCCAATCAGCTGTTTGCTAAACATCTGAGACACATTTGCAACCCACGGCTCTGTATTTATAAGAGTAATCTATTAGTTGAAATATATATTTTTTCCTTTTTTTGTAAAGTGTATGTGGTCTCAGAAATCTAGGTAGGTTTTAATTTGAATACTAAAATATGTGATTTCAGTCTGAGATTGTACTGTAAGACTCTTAACTGTGTGTTCAATGTCACAAACTTCACTTAAAGATTATTGTTGTGGTTTAGGGTGGGTGATAAAGTTATCTTCTTTGTGTGACTTTGTGTGAAAAATAGAGGGCAGCACACAAGTAATTATCAATATGCATGGCCTATTGAAAGCCTATCAAACCACACTGTATTCACAGGAGAGCCAAAGGCAATAAAATAACTTAGTTCACTTTCCAGATTGTCAGTGGGTAGCAAATGGGTTCACTACAACTCTCCCAGGAGAGAAATATGTTCAAGACTAAACACAGTCGAAGCAGAATGAAGCAGGACATCTGCCAACTTGGAGGTTCAGTAATTCAATTTAGGACTTTCTGTAAATTGGTCGATGTGAAGAGGCTGCCAGATTTAACTGAGAGGAGAGCAGTACAATAGCAGAGTGAGAGCCAAGTTTGGATTGGTTGGCACGAGTGACTTTGCCCCTTTTATCCGAGACGCAGCGCTACAGCTCCGGCTTCTGGCTTCCTTTGTACTGAGCGTGCATCTGAACAAATGTTCTGCAGACGATCATCAACAAATCATCTCGCAGGTCTTCACCTCTTCTGCTTCCTGAACGTCTGCCTAGGATTTTACTGCATGGATGGATGAACTTGTATAAAAGGAAAGGAGCTAAGTGTCTTGTGGGCACATAGGGCGAGAGAAAATCTCTGCAAAACTAATATTTTAGCCTGATATATTAAACAAGTACAAACATGGTTTAAATATACAGTATGTGGTTATAAATAAAGATGCACAATCTGTTGGACCAAATACTGCATATCCACGCATTGAGATGATCCCTTCAATTTGAACCCTGGAAAACTATACATATGTTGCTAAGCAGTTATATTTTGAAGTTTTTTGCCATTGTTGGGACATGTCTCTATGGTAATAATACTTAGTTGCAGAGACCTTATATCTGATTTTATATTTAATACGGTTGCACAGGGACATGAGTTTGACAGAAAATAAAAGGGAAGAATCTTCAATGTAATTTATTATTACTCAAGCACGTTTGAAGATATAAGCAGATCATAGCTTGTTGTTATTTTAGATGTTTTTACAGTTAAAAATACATTATGGGTTTGCTTTTTTTCAGTGACTTTAAAATACCTCTTTATTGTGGCCTATAGAGAAGGGAATAAGAGAGGAGAAGAAACTAGAGCACTGGAAACTGGATCAGTGACATCACTTATTGTCAGTGACATCATCACCGAGGGACCAGACACCAGTGTCACATCTGAGTTAGTCTTCATGGGTCAGCCTCAGGACATGTAAAGGACCCAAGAGTATGTGTGTGTGTGTGTCTGTGTGTGTGTGTGTGTGTGTGTGTGTGTGTGTGTGTGTGTGTGTGTGTGTGTGTGTGTGTGTGTGTGTGTGTGTGTGTGTGGTGAGCTAGAAAGAGAAAGATCAGGTGTCTGGTATCAAACACTCCACCGTTTGAAGTGACATGGGAGACAACGCTTCACTGTGTCACCTGTGTCCCTTGCAGACAGCCAGTTACACACACACAAATACACACACCCACCCACACACACACACACACACACAAAGTTTGATACAAGGCGGTAGATAAAAAGCTGGTGCCCGAGGTGGCTCTTTGGTCCTGTTCCTCAGTATGAAGAAGCTCTTTTACCTCGTGGTATTGTTAAGTGGAGTGAGAGAAAGACAGTTAAGTATTTTACCTTAGTATCCGTGTTGAGCGGGCAAGCTTTGGCGTGGCCGTAACAGATACACATCCCTCCCACTGAAATGTCCTTAATGGAATAATAGTACTGAAAAGAGAGAAGGTGAGAAAAGGAATACAACAGTGTTAAACATCGTAAACATAGGATATTTTATCTCACTGGGGTGTAGTCTTTAAAAAGCAAAGCCTGACCGAAAAAAATTATGCCGCAATAGTAAAACCACATCTGGTGATTTGTTGAACAGCAGTAACGGTAAATTGCTGAATCACTTTACAATTTGACTTGTATTCATCCACTCACGCTCACAGATGGCAGCGAGCTAACATGTGGCCCGGTGCTGACCATCGGGAGCAATTTGGGTTCAGTGTGCAACAATACTTTGACATGTGGATCGACCCACTTTACCTCCAGAGCTACAGCTGCCCACAGTCTGCACAATGGCCAACTTTACTGTATGGGCTACTCATCGGACTCAAAGATTGAACAATGAAACACCTCAATCGCAAATAAATGAGATAATCTTTTATCCTTTTGTCTTTTTACAGTGGATTTTTATACAATTATATTTCAATGACGGATATTTAAATTACATATTATTGTTAACATGATTATTAAACGTTTTACTGTTGTACAATGAGCTTTGGCAATACTGTGTTTGTGACATGGTCATGCCAATAAAGCTTCTTTGAGTTGAATTTAATCATAATTTCAAAGAAAGAAATATATGAAAAAGTGTTGAGCCTCACCCTTCTCGTCACGATGGGATCGACCTCCTTCGGGTCACGCTGAGTCAGAGTCATGAGGTCGGCGTTCAGCGTTCTGATTCGCTGAAACACCAGCCTGATGTAGCGGGCGGAGGTGAAGTTCAGCAGGGTCTGGGAGGGGTCGTCTGCACTCGGCCGGCCATTGATCAAAGACGCGTGGATCTATAGAGAGAGACAGGCGAGTACTGATGTGACAGCAGACTTAAACTGAGCCACTGTGATGAGACACACATTAAAGGCACTTTTAGTTTCTTGCAACTGCAGATAGTAGAGAGTAGAAGCAGTGAGAAACTTCTTCAGTGTAGCTAAGAAAGAACAAATACAGAACAGATTGGAGTAGGATGAGTTGCAATAACATATTTGTTACAGGATGTCTCGTTTATTTTCAAAAATGTAAAAAAAGACTTGTTTGAGCAAAAATAAAAAGTCTGAACAACAAAAAGCCTAAAATGTGGAGTTGTTTTCAGTATTTGTACCAAGTCAAATGTAACACCTTTAATTATAGATATACACGTTTCAAAATGGCTGAGGAAAAAGAAAAGATTTTGTGCGGTTCTGTTGTGTCAGACTTTTTGCCTCAGAGATTCCCAATTCTGATTGTAATGTGTTCATTAAGACCATCTGGCGATACAGTACTGCCAACAGAGGTGATTGGAACATGAAAAGACAAGATAGTGTTGTTAAGAAGCAGAAGAACATGATGTGTCTTTACAAAGATTTTAAGCGAAAAACCTGAAGACCCTTGATTGGCTTTTTAGCTTTTCAGCCATATCTAACTGAAACCAAACATCTACTCAGGGAAACATAGAGTGATCTAAATGATGCAAAGCATTCAAGGGATACACAATAACAACAATGCAGTCATTTCCAATTCTTCTAGGAAGACAACATTTGTATGTGGCACATCTGCACACCTACAACAATGTTTGCTCATATTAAATTGAACGAAAGAAATAGACAATTTGAATTCTAACAGTGTCGCTCTGATGTGCTAAATGCAGGAGAAGAATAAGAACCATCTATATTCTGTATCACCAATAATGATCAACAGGCAGTCACATTACAAGGAGTGTGAGGTCCTGTCTGTCTGTCTGTCTGTCTGTCTGTCTGTCTGTCTGTCTGTCTGTCTGTCTCTCTAATGTGGCCAAAAGCAACATTTGGGAGCTGCAAAGAAGTCTTATGGAGAGCACCGTGTTCAGTTGTGTGTGTGTGTCAAGGGGGAACACTTGATGGGTGCAAGCTGCACACTTGGAAGTAACGAAGGAAATGGGTGTGTGTGTGTGTGTGTGTGTGTGTGTGTGTGTGTGTGTGTGTGTGTGTGTGTGTGTGTGTGTGTGTGTGTGTGTGTGTGTGTGTGTGTGTGTGTGTGTGTGTGTGTGTGTGTGTGTGTGTGTGTGTGTGTGTGTGTGTGTGTGTGTGTGTGTGTGTGTGTGATGAGCAATGGGGTGACATTGTGAATGTGTGTGCGATGCTGTGACACATCGCCTACGACTCATTATGGTTTCACTGTGATCAGACGGCTGGGGAGCTGTCAACCACACACACACACACACACACACACAGGCACACACACAGGCACACACACACATTCAGACACCTCTGTCGTTGCAGCTCTTGACATCTCCCAGCTCGCACCCCCTCTAGCGCTCCCCCGCAGGACACAGACACACATGCATCCAGGCATGTGCGACACACACACACACACACACAAACACACACAGCACCCATGTAAATATATAATAATATATAATATAAATATTCAGACAGGCGTCTACAATTAGAGGCCTGTGTGGAAGATGTAGATGTGCGGTTAGTTTGTTTTCCCTGCATGTGTCTATGTACGCATGTGTCTGCTTTTGTGTATGTGCGTGTGTTCTTTTTCTCTTCATTAATGTCAGTAATCGTAGGCTTTCCCTTCAGTTCTTATGCGGTGAAATCATACACACAGCTGATCAAAGCAACATAACAGCAAACAGTTGTGTGCATATGTGTGGGTTTTCTATCAGTGACTTGAATTATATAAATATGTGTGTACATTTGAAATGTTCCTACATTTTAGACATGCTCTCATCTACTTATTTACTTGTATCCTGCTAAGAACACTATATGAGTGTCTTTATGAAAGCTCATATGAACATTATACTTTCTTTTGTGTTGATTTTATAGAGTTGTATCTGGTGTCATGAGTCAAGTTCAATTTCAAATGTTCACCTTATTCTAATTTCCACTCCTGTTGTAACATATCGTCTCGTTCCTAACTGTTACTCACATCCAGTCTGTCTGTTGCCCTCAGCCCTTCCTGACATGACCTGATAGTCACCTGCTTGCACTCCTAATGTAGCCCTCAGTCCTCCTAATCAGTCACTTAGTATGTACACTAATTCACAAGATCACTCTAATTCTCAGATTATATTTTCCGCCTCATAGCCATAAAGTGCAAGTCTGAGCCCGCCCTTGCCTGCCTTATGATCACTTTTTCGAAATGAAGTACAGGGAAGAGATACATAGAGAAAACCACAGTATGAGATATCAATTACAGCTCTCAAAAAAAAAATGCCTTATGATCTTGGCCTGATTTTCTACTGCCTGTTCTTTTGTGTTTACTTTGCTTTCTGAAAGACTAAGAAAACAGCTTTGTGCTTCACATCAACTTATATTATTTGCATCCAGCTTTTTGGTCGTCATTACAAAAACCTAATTTAAAAATGTTAAATTCCAAAGGTCTGGATGCAACTGGATCAGGCCATTCACATGATAATGAAGAGGTGTACATTTTTTTGCATACAAGCTGAAACTATCTTTACCTTTATATGCATTTAAAGAGGAAAAAAAGACCAAAGTGCATCACAAAAATAACATTCTTGCAATACTACAGAAGCTGCACTTTGTCTAGTTGTTCCCATACTTTGGTAAATCATGTTAAGCCATTGTAACCCTACTCGCCAGTTTGAGATCTAAACCAACCTAAATCATTCTTATAAAACACGACACAGTCTAACTTAATATAGTTCAAGCAGACCATGCACAATTCAACTTATTGTACTCTACACACCAAGTTAACATCTCCCCAACCTCATTAAACTTGACCCACTGCATCTCATCCTGGGTCAACTTAACCCATTGGCACCATTTAAATCAACCTAAATCCAAACAAAACTCAACTACAGATTACTGCGGCAGTGTAAAGACTTCTGAAGCTATAAGTGTTACCTCTCCGTTCTCCAGTGGTTGGATCTTTGAATAAAAGACGTGCAGATAACTTCATCATCTCGGGTGTAGGATGGATTTCCGGTCCGCGGGTTGATGTTGAACCTCGTCAGGCACTCTGTATCTGTCATGGCGTAGTACTGCCAGGGGTCAAAGGTGACGCCATCTATTGAACGCTCTAAGATCCAGTTACCTGTGGACAAAAATATGGGTAAAAGAATGATGATGAAAGGCATTAAACGTGTGATATGTAGATGGGAAATTATCAATAACAGAATGATGGAGGTCCAAGACTGTGCTGAGGTCAAACTGTTTAAAATACATAGAAAATTGACAGGACATTCAATTCTACATATTTATTAATAGCCTGGACCGAAAATGTGATATTCCACCTTCTGAATCGATTCAATGGATATTCATTTCTTTTCCATCTAAGTGACAATCAGTCTGCATTTACTGTCCCAAAGAAAAAGTCCCTGTTCAACTTTGTAAGTTTAGCTAAATGAAGGTTAAACCATTTATTTTACAACAATATATGAAAACGTATAAATTGCAGTAAAAATAGATACTTAAAAGAATGTCTCAAAACTGCAAAAGTAGAAAATGATGATGAAATTCATATAATCCAAAAATCATACCTTTGGTCTATTTTATCTGTTAGAAAGGGCCTTTTTCATTTTTTCCAGCACAGTTTCACACGTGTTCCTATTAAAACCCCATAAAGGTCACCTATCATGCTATTTTTAGGCAATAGCATAGGTCTCAGATATATAAAAAGATATAAAAAACATGTCTATGAAGTGTTTTGCTCAAAATACCAAACAGATCACCCATTCTAGCCATGCCTCATATCCCTCTATTTCACTTCCTGTTTCAAAAGTGCCGATTTTGGGTATAAAGCTTTAAAAAAAAAATTGATAAAAAATAAAAAAGGAGGGGGCTGAGCTCATGCAGGACCCGGCAGCTACTGTCTAAACTAAATACTGCCGTGATGAAACGCCATATCATGGATTATCAAGGATTATTTCTGAAACAGTATGGAGCTCAAAGGCTTTCTCTCTTGCCGGTTATACCACAAGGTGAGTTCCTTTTTATTTCCTGCTTCTTCACACACATGCTCTCCAGTACAGGTTAGCTCTGAGTGTTAGCGATGCTAATGTAAACACCGACCATATTACGTCCAAAACAGTCGGGCATTGTTTCTGATAGTAACGTTTCTGATAGTGCCGTGGGTCCACATTTCCGATATTACATCATATCGGACGCAAATCTGGATCAGCTCCGTTGTACCCCCGTTTTTAGAGATTTGGGTACGGAGGAAAAGAGAGAGGGTTTTATTTTCTGACAGTGCGTGAGTTCCCTGACACACCGGGGACACATGTTTATGTATAAAAGACATCAAAAAGTGCATTTTGCATGATAGGTCCCCTTTAATATAATACAAGCCTTTTCTTTACACCTTAATTGAGCATCTACAATACATGCATAGTAAAGTCACAAGAGAGTTAATCATAGCAAAGCATAGCATTATTTATAGACAATAACTTCATCAGGATTACTGGTATTTTTTTAAGCTGGGTTTTAACCTCAAAGAAACTTCTGCACATAATTAAAAAATACAGAGTAGAGTTCAAATTCATTTTATTGAATGGGATCTTGAGCTTCCAAAGAATTCTCCTTGGGGCGGATCATGGGCTCAAAAGGTCATCTAACAGTCATAAAGCAAACAGGTCTGGAGCTGGCACTTTAATCAAACAGTCATTGTTTCATTTTATAATCAGAGCAGTTATATTACATTATATTACCACCTGAAACAGCAAGTGGCTGCCTTAAATACAAAGAAAGAAAAGGAAATCTTACCTGGGCGCGGGGAGTTGGCTGCCTTTATGATCATATAGGCTATCTGGAAAACCTTAAAAACACAGACAATAGACCGAGTTAAAAAAATTCATCAATAACCGCAGGGAAATATTTTACCTACAGTTTTAATGACACTGGATTTCCACTGAAGTGTTTACACTTTATGTCAGAGTTATTGTTATGAAACTAGTCCTAGTTTTTATTACAGTTGTATTCGACCTCAACCAGTATGTTTCTTTTTGAAAACTTTAAGTAAATACAAAAATGCTTTTTAAAAGGATTTGATTGGTTAAACCTACTTTACTCACTTCCTTGTCACACATGTTCTAGCTGTCTGAAATTAAGAGTGTTTATTTAAAGCTTTTTTAACATTTAAAATACAATCTGAACAGTCACACCACACACACACACACACACACACACACACACACACACACACACACACACACACACACACACACACACACACACACACACACACACACCACACACACACACACACACACACACACACACACACACACCACACACACACACACACACACACACACACAACACACACACACACACACCCACACACACACACACACACACACACACACACACACACACACACACACACACACACACACACACACACACACACACACACACACACACACACACACACACGATGTAGGTCAAATGCTGTCGCCCGTTCCTCTCTTCACAACCCCATCTCTCACCCCATCCTCGTTCTCTCTTTCTTCTCGTGATGTGGGAAGCAGTGTCACATTGCAGCAATTAGAATAGGGAGAGATCTACCAAGTGTGTGTGTGTGTGTGTGTGTGTGTGTGTGTGTGTGTGTGTGTGTGTGTGAGAAAGTGAATTTCAGGGTAACCTTAGAGCAGTCATTCAAACCTCCTACAAAGAGTCAATGTTACCTGTATTCTAGCCGCGGATGGGATTTTGTGTGTGTGTGTGTGTGTGTGTGTGTGTGTGTGTGTGTGTGTGTGTGTGTGTGTGTGTGTGTGTGTGTGTGTGTGTGTCTCTTCTAGTGTCTGGTTGTGTCTGTGTGTGTGTTAGAGAGCTCTCAGTGGTAGCTTGTAATATGCTGACAGCTTTGGGACAGCTAGGCAGCTCCAGCAGCTAAACATAGATGAACACCGCTAATGCAATGTGAGTGTGTGTGTGTGTGTCTTTGCGTGCTGGTTAGTGTGCGTGCGTACGTGCATGCGTCATATTTTGTGTTTTGATCAGATGTGGCTCGAGCAAAGGAAATGTTTTGCCCATAAAGCTCGACCCAGCATCATCAAATAAACACCAATGAGCGTCCTTCAATAGATCACACGGCTGGTAAATAATTGTGATCTTGCATCCATTACATTTAATGTCAGTTGGGTACATTTATGGTAAGTTTGTTTCATGAACAGATACTTTTCTTAGCCTTTGGTATATCATTTAATTGGCTAAATTCACTTTTTAAAGTAAGTTTTGTTTATCTTCCACACAGAAAACCTTAACTTTGAGTAAAAGAGTGAAACAATGTGACTCATTTAGCCTCAGATGAAATGTTGCCTCTTATCTGTACTTTGTTTTTGCACTGATGAATAATTCTATGATTCTAAAATAAACTTTTCTTCAGATAGAAGTGTTGCAGAGGAGTGTGGCAAATGTCTATAACGGATACAAAAAAGCACTTATCTCGAGGTATGACAAGAGTCTTCTATTCTACATCTCACAAGGGGTCTTAAAAACTTAATACCATACACATTATTATGAATTTCCAAATAGTTCTTACGCATTTATTGGACCAATATTACACATTTAACAGGAAATAGTCATGGGGGGAATGACATATTTGTGGCCAAATGAGCACTTAAAGTGTTTATTTTAATGATAATCCATCTATCTAAACCCTGTGTCCAGTATGGTTGTGATGCCCACAAACAAATGGAGTGTGAAGAATCCATTTTGTGTGAGCGTGATTTGGAAACACAATGACAGCGGTTTTACTGGGCAGCTGGTGTTTACAGGCCATTCACATGGAAACATGTTCAAATGTCTTTGGCCTGATAAACTGGCATCAAACCCCAATTCCAGTTAGCGCTCCAGCTAATTATAAACAGGATTTGAAGCACAAAAGACAGATCAGAAATTAAGTGGAGGAAGATCAGAATGAGAAATAAAGAGAAAAAAAACTATTCAAATAAATGGGGTTTTCAGACAAACAATATACAGACACACAGGTGGATCTGTAGTCAGAGCAACAGACGTGGTATGCAGACTCGTTAAAAGTTACTGTCACTTCAAGAGAAAATGTGTTAACATCTCGCTGGACTAATAAAGTAGCTTTTGGCCCCGTTCTAAATATCTGTGAATCATCCAACATCCCTGACTGCCAAGCTGAGTGCAAGCAAACAAGCTGCAGATATTCACAGGAGCCACACAGTTATCTCATCTCAACATCGCTCTGCTTTTCCACTGAGCTGCCACTAAAAACAATTTGGGGGAGAGATGCTGCAGTATTTTTGAATGACAGTCTCTTGACAGTTCTGCAGCAAACACATTAGCATAAAGTTCAATTTTTAACCAAATTGCAGGGGAAATAATGTGAGATAATAAAAACAACGGGGAATTCTTTTTGTTTTTCACATTGGTTCAAACAGTGGACACGCTGCAGACGCTGGCCTCTGGATAAAACGGAGAAATGTACTGATGTTTTAACAACCAATTGAAATCCATTCTCGTTAAGTCTGCCTCTCTGTCTGAACTGCCAAAAAACACAGTTAGACTCACAAATAAAACAAACGTGCACAGGAACACGCTCGCTCACAGACTTGGTCGTAATTTAGCCTTAAGCTTTTTAAATGGGCTTTTAGTCTGCACACAACACCAGATGCTGCAATCTCTCCCACATTCTTGCTTTGGCCCGAGATTCTGTCAAACGTAGACCAACAAAGTTACATTACAGCAGATGTTTCATTTTTCTTCTTTGAGTAATGAATAAAAACAATTTTGTCTGCCGTTTTAAAGCTCTCACCAGGTCTTTTTCTCAAATCCTTCTTAATTATATTAGGAAAAAAGTGACGAAAAGGCAAGATTGTTTTCTAGTTTAAGGTATTTTTCCGATGTACAAAAGGAAATGTTTAGCACACATTTGATGAATATATCATACACAGATTGTCATAAAGCTATCACTATGGTGGGTAAAGGTTAACTGAGTCCTCATAAAGACTGATTTTGAGAACCAGTGGACTCAAACATCCGCCTCATTAAGCTGTTTGTCGACTGCGATAAAGTGAACCGCAATGATTTGAAGTTGAAGAGCTAAGGTGTAAAGCTCCAATATTATGTGATCTTAAAAATGTAAATAAATGTAAACATGAATTTGTCTGTTATTGTTTTTCGTTTGCTCATATCCAACACCCACTTCCCACTTCCACCCATCTGTTCTGAAGCTTTCTCAAGCACAATGCTGTTTTTATGAATATTAAAATGAAAAAAAAAGTATAAAACCACTGTCTGTTTTTTATGGACTTGAATATAAGGCTCTCTCTGGTTGAGTCATTTTGATCAATGCGTTATAGGCTCAAACAGTTACATGTACATAGCGGTCATAAGATAAAATAAATAACAATAGGCATGTGTGTGCCTGAACAAGACTTGAAACATTATGCATGTAACAAGTGTGTATTAATGTCATTGTGAGTGTGTGTGTCTGTATGTTGAGGTATTTAAGAGCTGCGGATAATGTTGGCACTTTGATTGACATCCTCTTTTTTCTCCGATTGCTGCCATGTTCTCCTCCCGCCGTCAGAGAACAGACGTTGTGCGTCATTTGACGACGTAGAACAAAATGTCCGTCAATCAAACTGACGACTTCATCTCCATGATAACTGCAATTTAACTGAAACCGAACCGGTATGAAGGCGACAAATGGTTGTTACCAAGGAAAGCGAGTTTAACCCCTCATGGTAAAGAAGTCCAAATACAATGACTGGTAATCACTTGATCGTAATGAATGCTTAACCTTAGGGCGACTTAAAACCTGTGTTTGATACGGAAAGACTGGAGTTATAACACAGCCCAGTAATTACAAAAATAAAAAGTGATTATTTTAAATGTAAAAGACTGTTTAAACCTGTGAAAGAAACCTACACAAAAATGAAGAACCTAAGCTCTTGTGGGGCAAATAAATGATTTTCAACCTTATTCAAAATGTCTCTCTCTGCAAAGGACTTTTACTGTGATTGTCAATTGAGATGCAAAATTACAATTCAAGAAATCATCAAAAAATGATAAGGAACATACACAGAGTTCAACCGTCTCTCAAAAACACACACATTCACACACACTCACACACATGGACCCTCAGCTCCCACTCTCTCATTATTTAGTCTTTCCATCTAGAGAGGTTCAACAATAACAAGAGAGGAAATGAGGGTGGTGATGTCACAGGCGATAACCACACACAGACACACACACACACACACACACACACACACACACACACACACACACACACACACACACACACACACATTTCATGTCATTTTCTGAGTGAGATGACTGAGGTCGCAAGGGAAATTCAGAGCACTGGAGGGTAAATAGCTTTCCGTTGGTCTGATAGCGACTCGCACATATACACACACAAAAATCACCTACTGTGGAATGCACATGTTCACACTCTCTCACACACACACACACACACACACACACACACACACACACACACACACACACACACACACACACACACACACACACACACACACACACACACACACACACACACACACACACACACACACACACACACACACACACACAAACACACAAACACACACACACATTTATGGAAGCCAGTATAAAGGCGATCATTGCAAATCAGGCGTGAGGTCGATATACTTTTATTTTGATCAATTTATAGTAGTGTTAAACTGTGTTTGGTGATCAAAGGACATTTCTTTGTCTTTCCCAAGTCCAATTTCTGGGAAATATATTATATAAATTAACTAATATATTGAATTTAGAGTACTTGAATTCAATCAGACAACCCCTCATCCCTTC